TTCGATTTGATTCAATTTGAAAAAATCAAATCAAATTCAAATTGCTTAAATATTTGATTCAATTCGATTTTGAGGAACCCTATGCAGAGGCACTTTTTACTATAATGTTCTTAGTAAGAGCCACTTCTGAAGCTTTGGAGATGGCTTTACTATTGATTCAAATCAAATATTCAAATATTAAATCGAATTGCGAAACCCTAGTTATATGATTTAAGAAAATTTTCACCAATTTATATTTAAAGAATAAACACTTCCAATTGAAGTTCAAGAAAAATACTCCTTCTTTGTCATGTTGAATATAATGTTCTTACAATAAAGTAATATTAAAAGAAGAATTTTCAGATTTTATAATCTGAATATATAATTATACTTAGCATAGTAATTATTTTAATTAAGTATATATGTAATACGTAATTATGGTAATTAATTACAAAAGACATAATTATTATAGGGGTGGTAATTAATACTTATAGACGTAATTAATTACGTAGATAGTAATTAATTTTGGGAAATGTAATTAATTATGGGGTAGTAATTAATACTTATAAACATAATTAATTATGGGAATGGTAATTAATTTAGGGTGATTTAATTAATTATGAGGGATATAAATTTTTTTAATATATAAGTATATAAAAAGAATTCTGTAGTGTCATTTTTGGCTTTAATTTAAGTCCAAATTCGCTTTGTATAATCTTTGTACATAAAAATGCATAATATCCTTTTATAGTATTCGTCATGTAATGTGTAATTAATATCAAGATATACATTAAATTCAATTTATTTAAATATTGGAATAGAAAAAACCCAGTATAAAGAAGGTTTCTTTTGTTTTACCCACCTTTTTACTTACGTGAGAGAGTTATAATGCGTAAAGTGCTGTGAAACAAAAAATGGTAACCTTAAGTTCATTTTATACGTCGCTCCAAAAGCTCTAAAGAAAGCTGCTATTTTTACTTCAGCTTCTTCGTCTTCTTCAACCTCAACTTCTGTTCCCACCAACATTAATTTAGAAATTGTCCAAGAGGTTTTTAGCTCATTACCAGAAAAACAATAAAGTTTAAATTTTTTGACATTTTTAAAATTGCTACTCCTAACAAAATTTCACCAGTTATTCCACCCTCAAATAACAACAATAATGATAACAACAAAGTTGACAATATTCCTGAAAACTCTTCTTCAACCAAAGATAGGTTAAAACTTTTAGATCCTGATGAATATCTTGAAGACTATAATATGGAAGAAGACCTAAAAGGTTTCACAGTTATTACCAAAGCTACCCTCTTTGCAGTTGCTAGTCATATCAAGTTTACACCTAAAGAAAAGAACAACAGCAAAATTATTCTCACTATCAATAATGTTTTTGCTAAAAATGACGATTTTTGAGGAGTTTCAGTTCATCACGTCAATTTGACGTGTTCTATAATTGTCTATTTTATAACATTAGATGTGGCTGCCACAGCCTTACATATAACTATTCCTGATCTTAATATTGACACTTTCTGTGATTTCTCTCAATACAAAGCAGATATACAATTTAATGAAAGAACTATTCATGTTACTGATATCCTATTACAAATGAAGCCTACCAATATCAAACAAGAATTTGCCAAATATGGAACTGTTACCAATTTTAAAATGACAGTAAGAGGTATATAGCAATATGCTTATATTACCTATGAAAACCCTAAATATATTGAGCTATTTTATCAAGTGTGGAGTCGTTTTGTCCAGAATGATTCTGTCTGTGTCAATCCTTGCACTTTGTCTTTAGAAGAAATTAAATATAGAAATACTCATTGTATCAAATTAACAAATCTTCCTTTTGGTACCTCTGCAAGAGATCTTCATAATATAATTCTTGCTACTAAAGCTAGAACTAGCTATATTCCTTGATCCAACAATTATAAGCCTCGTCCTTTTGTTATTTTACATTTTGAAAATGAGGAAGCTCTCAACCATGCAACTCAACAAAACTTTGCTTTTGGTAATAACTAACTAATGTGGTATTTTCCTGATTCTAGAAGCTGTCACAAATGTGGCGATCCAGTTCATCTTGTTATGAAATGCCCCTTTTTACAAAAATCTGTTACACCCAATGACAATGAAGAACCTATTAACTCAAAGATACCCACTCAAAACAATTTAATGCAAAGACTCTACAATAAATATAAACCTGCTAGCTTTAGAAAATTTGTTAATTCCAATCGATCCAACCATTTTTCCAAATCCTATTCTGAGGCCACTAAAAATAAGAATACATCCCCACCTCTACCACCGAAAGATGTTATCAAACCAACTGTTAAGGATTCTGTTCACAATCTGAATAAAGAAATCAATAATAAATTGGATCAGATTCTTTCAATTCTCTCTAATATGAAAATGGATATGAATGAACTGGATGCTAGAATCGCTAAACTGGAATCTCTTCAGGTTTCTTCTCCAACTACGTCTACAGTATTTCCTTCAACTATTGTTAGTAAAGGGAAAGATCTATTAATAGTTTCATACATCTCTCAACATTCATCAAAATCACAAGATACGTCTAATAAAAGATCTCGCATTGCTAGATTTTCAAGTAATGACTCTTCACCCTTACCAATTTTGACTACAAAACCTGATCTTACTAATATGATATATGAACAAGCTGCTATTATTGCTGAACAAAAAAGACAGATAGACAGAATGTTCAAACAAATTGAACAATTCGTAATAAATGCTAACCAGTCTCAAAATTAGATACACCTATTATTTACATTCTTTAAATGATTAATATAATAAATAATATTCTGTTACCTAATATTTTCCCACAAATTTAATTAACAATAATAATCAATTTCTTCCTAATAATAATATGCTCCCCTTCCTCATAATTTACTTTTATCACATGATCAACTCATCCTTATTATAGACAATGACTTAGAAAATTCATATGGTGATGATAGAAAATTAATTTTAAATAGAAATACCTCACCTTTGCTACTCATAATGTACATTCTCTTCATGAGGATGTTAAAAATAGTAAGATATTAGATACTTTTTATCAAAAGAATGTTAACTTTGTTGCTTTATCGGAAACTTGACATCAATCTTCACAATCTTTTAGATGTTCTTCTGATCTCTTTTTGATACTTTGTGGAGTTCTATCTCTAATAAGTTCTCAGGTGTTAGTTTACTTATCAGCAAATCTTGGTCAAAGCATATTGCTAAAAAATTCTTGGATAATGATCATTATATTTATGTTGATCTCTACTTAAAAGGAAATATAAAACTTAGAGTTTTCTCAGTATATATCCATGCCACTGAATATAAAGAAAGGAAAGTCCTACAAACAACATTACTATGACTTATTAATAACAGTCTTCAGTTTGGTTTACACATTATCATTATAAAAGACTTCAATGCAAATCTGATCAAATTACAATGCCTCATTGATTCTGGTAAAACCATTCCTTGGAAGTATGATCTTATACATGGTCTTGTACTTAGAAACTTTTTGGATTTATATGACATTTATCATGATACACCCTTACCTACATTCAAAAGATCAAATACTTCCATTCGTATTGATACAATCTTTGCTTCTCAAAATCTTGTAACTGACTTTCTTTATTGTAATATAGTTCATTCGTACTTATACAAATCTGTTCACGAGATTGTTATTGCCTATTTTTCCAACATTTAACATGAATCCCAATCTCATTCAAGGAGAAATAATACTAAAAGAAAAGTTTCTCTTCTCAAATCCATGAACTCCTCAAAATGGACAAGCTTTGCTAATTATTCCAATACCTATTATAACAATCACAATTTTGATCATTTAAAAATCTCCCATCCAATCATACAAATATGAATAATCTTTGGATAGAATTGAAAAGAGCTGTTTTGAATATTAGTAAGTTTAAAATTCCTTACAAATGGTCACTCACTAAGATTGAAAAGATTCTTTTAAAATTTTGGTCTAAAAGGCTAAGAGAACGGCTTTGGCCTATTGGTGAAGAATGGAAACATGATCTAAATATTGTTGCAAATATTGTCAAAGACATCTCATATCCTTTAGATCCTTTGCCTCAATTTTTAAATTTATCAAATGTTAGAGATGTTAAAAAAACTCTCAACTGCATCTACAAAGTCTTATATAAGCTCACTAAATTAGATGCCAAGAAAAAACTAATGCACAAATAAAATCATTTATTGGAAAAAGATGCGACCAACTTGAATCTCAACCTGGTAAAATAATAGATTCTATTTTACAAAGGAAAAAGAGGAAAATTACTTATAATCGAGTCTTTGTCAACAATAATGATGACTCTAAATACTTTACCCTAGATCCTGATAAAATCAAAAAAGTTGCAATCAATCACTTCCAAAATAATGCACTACTATTGACACTTCTGAGATCTTTGGATAGTAGATGGCTCTCACAATATCAGCCAAAGGATTACGTATCTGAAAATATTTATGTCAATCTTATGCAACCTCCAACATATAATGAATGGTGCTCAGTTCTTTCACACTTAGCAAAAACAAAGCTACTGGACCTTCAGGTATCCATAATGAAATGTTTCAACATTTAGGAGATAAATTCAAGCACTTAGTTTGGCAATTAATTTGCATGTATTTCACCATTGGTGACACTTCCAGTGAATGGAAAATTGCACATGTATATCCAATTCCTAAACCAATGGAATGGGAATGTGACATTACAAAGACCTGTCTGATCATCCTATTAGAAACATTAAGAAAAGCATTTGTCAAAGTGGTTACTAATCGACTCTCAAAAGTTCTCGCTAATCACCATGTCCTGAAAGGTAACAATTTTGCTGGTTTCTACAGAAAAACCGATTAAAATTCTAAATATGTTGTTAGAAGATACTAATGAAAACAAAAAAAAGCTTTGGATTTTATTGCAAGACCTTTCCAAGACATATGATCATGTTAACCTAAAATTTCTTTATCTTGCCTTACAACGTATCAAAATTTATGCTAAGTGTGTAGATCTAATCATCAACCTCTTCACTAATAGGAAAAATGCAGTTTTTACAGCCGATGGTTTTACTGATTACTATGATATCAAAATTGGTATTGATCAAGAAGAAGTCATTTCTCTTTTACTATAGTGCATTTATCTTGATCCTCTTTTATGTGAAGTAGATGCTTTAAACAAAGAATATGAAATATCCCATATATGGACCAACAATATAATTAGCAATACCACTACAACTCTTTCAGAATCTGTATCATTCTTGACCTTTATGGATGATACCAACTGGATTGCTAATTCTCAACAAAATCTAGAAAATATCAAATATCCTTGCAATAGCTGATGATTTTTATGATTTAACTAGGACTGCCTTGAACAAATCCAAATCAAAGCTTATCACAATAAAGTCTTTTGCATTTCCAACCATCAACATCAACTTTGGTTCTTCTACTGTTAATATCACTCCTGATCAATAGGTCGAACTTTTGAACTTTTGTTAAAACTCAAGCCCAAAAAGACATCAATAATTTTGCAGCTTTATGAAGCCTAAGCCTTTCACAGATAAACAAATTGCATATATTGTTAATGCAGTCCTTTGCCCGCTCTTAGAATATAGATTGCAGTGTACACCTCTTTCTGAACGTGAATGTAATGTCTACTTTGGCTCTATTAGAACTCTTTTTAAAAGAAAGTCTGATTTTGCTATTACAATTCTAACTGCCATTTTAAATAGCAATAAATATTATAACCTTTACGATCTTTGGTCCCTTCAAATTAAATCCTTCACATCTGCTCTTCTCAACCAATTCAATTTGACAGATCTTTATTTTAATGTATCTACAATTTGCCTATTTTAACTTCAATCACTTAACCTCCTTCCTTCATCTCCGCTTCATTTATGGAAATATCCTTATAACCGTTCTTCTCACAAAAATCTAATTAGCGCTCAACTTAGTATCATTAATACTGTTGCCTCTAGTTTTAAACCTAGGGGCAAAGATTTTTTGAGTAATCACATAATAGGAGGCTCACATTCATTTTACCAATTATTTTCTTACGCTATCTTCAAACAAAATTTTAATATTATTAAAAGATTACAACTATATTAT